GGCCGTGGTCGCCGCCACCCGCACCTCCTCTCCCGGACGACACCCAGGAGCGGGGCTTTCTTCTCCACAGCCTGCTTTCCTACGAGCCTCCTCAGTCCACTAGGCGGCGGGGTTCGCGGCCTCGGTGGGCGGGCGGGCGGCCGGGCAACCGGAGAGTGGCGAGAGGCAAAGGACGCGCAGCCGGCCGGGGCTGGCTTCTAACTGGAGGAAGGTGCCGAAGCTGACCGCGGCTGCAGGCTACAGGCGGGAGAGGAGGGGCCTCTCCCAACTTCCACCAATCAGAAGCCGCTAAGCAGGGTCTCTACGCTACGGAGTCCCGGACTGGCCGAGTGCGTTCGGCAGGAGGCGGGGATTGCGGAAAAGGAGAGCCAATAGGAGAGGAGACTCCCAGCTCCTCCGCCGTAAAGGACTGCCGCGTTCGGGCCAATGGGGAAATTCTGATTTCGAAGAAAGCGGGACTTGCCGGCGGGGTTTGAGGAAGAGGCTGCGCGGAGGGCTAGGCGGTAGCGAGGCTTGGAGACGACCTCGGTGGAGAGTCACGTGTGCCGCCGGAACTGGAACGGCGAACCTGGAGGAACTGCTTCCGGGTCATTGTCACCGGCGTCAACAGCGTGCGGGAACCTCTTTGCTCTTCCCTGGAACTTGTGCGCTGCTTGCGGCTGATGATGAGTTCCCAGAAAGGCAACGTAGCTCGGTCCAGGCCCCAGAAGCACCAGAATACGTTCTCCTTCAAAAATGACAAGTTTGATAAGAGTGTTCAGACCAAGGTAGGCCACTGCCTGTTGTAATGACTGCGACTCCAGGGACAAGTGATGGGCTGGAAGGGGAGAGAGGAACAGAGTTGGCGAGGGCGAGCGTGGACCGCAGCCCATTTTGTCTTGGCTAGAGTGCAACCCTTTCCAAAATGTTCTTCCCACGCCCTTCCTTTAACTGCCTGGGTTCAGTAAATACATCTGATGGTCAGCACACTTAACTGGTTGATTCAAGAGTGGACAGGACACTCCCACCCCATCCAGCCCAATGGTACCATCGCTTATGTCTGGATCAGATCTCTGCAGCCGGAGGATTACGGCTCGAGTGTCTTTTTCCAATTTTTCTCTGCAGCACTATTTTTCTAGGACTCGAAGCCCATCGGTTCTTAACCTGTTGACCTCGCTGTCCTCACCAACAAAATGGACTTTCTCTTTTGTTGAAAGTGTTTTGAAGAGTAAATTATTTGACTTATGTAAAAATGGTTGGTTTGCTGTTTATAAAATTATTTACTTTAGCAGGACTTGTGTAAAATGGAAGAAACTTAAGACAGTTTGGATAACCAGAAGATGTGCGATATCTAAGATTACTACTTTTCTGAGAATTTCTTCCCTTTTCCCACAGCTATAAGGAGTGCGGCAGTCATATTGAGGACCAGCTTTACATTAGATAAAACTGACATTTACAGAAACAGGAGGTCAAATTTCTTAAGTTTGTTGCTTGAAGTATTCAGTAATTTCTGTGAGCATTAGCCTCAAGTGAGGTATCTGGTAGGGTAAATTGAGAGGCTAAGAAGATGATGTAGAAATAGTCTGAGACAAAATAGGTGTTCAGCAAGTGATTAATTTCTCACTTTAGGAAAGCAATCCATCCATAGCATCCCATTCTCTTTTCCTCTTTCTTCATGTTACAAATATTTAGTAAGCACCTATCATGTACAAGGTTCTATGCCCACCGGTGTAGTACAGTGTTCACAAGCATCGACTCTGCCTTTGTGGAGCTTACAGCTTCCTGATATAAACAGTAAGTAAGCGGATGATACGAAATTAAAAATTGGAACACGGGTTGGTAGAGGGAAAGGCAATTCAATAAAGAAGAATAAAGAAGGATATTTTAAATTAAGCCCTCAGAAGATCTCTCTTGTTAGCAGGCATTCAGTCCATAAACCTGCCACCTGGTTTCCTTGCATTTTAAAAGAAATTATGAAATAGAAATTGGTGTAGGAAACTGGATTTATTCACAATTTGGCCAAAACAGTGATGAAGGCAGAGGAGTCTGGTTTCTTCTCACTGCCTTTGCAGCCATCTTAAAAGCTGTAGAGAGCCGTAGAACAGAGACTAGACCATACTTAAATATTACTGTGAGGTAGGAAAATCAGTCCTTTCCTGGCAGGAGAGAAACCTGGGCCTCAGGTTGTCTCAGCTCTGTTACAGTGACGTTTTTTTATTCACGACTAGACAGACAAATATGGAATGTTAGAGACCCTCCTCCCCCATTTTTTTTTTCTTTTGAGACAGGGTCCCACTATGTCACTCAGACTAGACTTGAACTTTTTGTGCTCCAGCTTCAGTCTCCTAAGTACTGAGCAGCTAAGAGAGATGTTTTCTTAGGAAATGTATCTAGAAAAAGCACCTGTTCTCAAATTTGAATATGTTCTAGAAGAGGAAAGAAGCTTGCTTTATACTTTTCCAAAGTATGAAAGATAACTTTCAGTGTAAAACCGTAAAGTGATGCATATCAGGGTTTTTTACACCCCCACCCATTGAGGTTATTTAAAGGGGGCCGCATCTTTATGGCTATTGATCAACAATGTCCTCAGACCATTAATAAGGCTGGAAAGTGTAAAGATCAAACTAGGTATATCTCTTCTAGTTATTTGACTGCAGTGTTGATTCTGTCGGTAGCCTTGTTTCCCTTACTGGAGAAGTAGTGGTATGTAAGGAAAATAACAAGTGCCATGAGACAGTATCCTCCGAACATGACATGGCCAGTGACCTCTTGAACTGTCAGCACCTGTGATTACCTGCAGAACATCTGCATAGGATTGGGTCCAATAATGTTCTGTCATAGAGTGAGAAGGGGCTTATGAGGGCCTCCCTCTCCCTGAGTGTATAAGCTATTAATGGTTGCTGAGAGAGACATTTTCTTCAGTGGTGCTCCTGTAAATAACCCCTTAGCCATGTTCTTGTAAGTGACCCTAATTAAATTCATGGTTCATGGAGCTAGATCTGAGTGGAATCGTTTCTTTGTTGTTTGTGCCCTGTATAGACATCTCTTCATCTCCCCAGAAAAAGTTCATAAGGGCTGGTTTAGCAGAAGAGAGATCAAGCTCTGTCATTGGTTTTGCTTTGGAAAGTCAAACAACTTGCCTGTGACTTTTACACTATAACACTGGGTTAGTACTAGCTCTTCTCGTCTCTCAACTTTTCTGTCAAGATTGTTGTGGGGATCATTACAAAAATATCTTTAAGAAATAGAGATACAGATATGAACAAGCGTAAGTATATGATTATTTATGTGGATCTGCAGTTGCGCAAAGCCCCCCAAAAATTAATTAGAAAAGAAATTCATACTTCTTGAAGAACATTGTAACAACAGAGAAGTTTATAGAGCGTAAAGATTACTTTTCTTGTAGCTGGAGAGCTGACTCAGCAGTTAAGAGCACTGGCTGCTCTTGCACAGGACCCAGTTTGATTCCCAGCACCCGCATGGCAGCTAACAACCATCCATATTTCCATTTCCAGGGTTTCTGGCACTCTCTTCTGTGGGTGCTGAATGACTAGGGTACACTTAAATACATGCAGGGAATACACTCATAAAAAATAAATAAAAATGTGTATGGTAAAATAATTTTTACTCTTTTAAAAAATGTTTGGTACCCAGGCTGGGCTGGAACTTACTGTGTAACCTGGTAGTCCTTCTGCCTGGGCTTTCCAGTTGCTGGGATCAGAGCCCCTGACTACCACAACCAGCTAAGTACGTGCTTTTTGTGGGTTATGTAACATTGAATATTATAAATGTAGAGTGACTTTAATCACTCTCCTATTAATAAGCATTTGAGTTCCTTGCAGTTATTTAGTATGTTTAGAAAGGCTGAGCTGAGCGTGGTGGTACATGCCTATTGTCTGAGCACTGTGATAGCAGTGGCAAGAGAATTGTGAATTTAATGCCAACCTGAGCTATTATATAATGAGACCACATTTACTGCTAAATGCTGAGGGAATAGGACTAAGTAAAATAGAGTTAACACTTTAACCAAAGCTTATAATTTGCTGGGAGAATTGACAGACACTAATCAAATAGTCTTTCAAGTATGTTAATGTGTGGCTGTAAGCTGTGAAAGAAAAGTCCACAGAGAGGGAAGGGAGAGCATTTAGCAGGAAGTCTAGGCGAGTTGAGGAAGGCTCCATTGAGATCTGATGGATAAGTGACATGTAACTAAATGAAATGGGAAGAACATATGCCGTCCTCTAGAGACTGCTATTTCTGTATATATTCAGAAGGATTTTTAATAAGCATTTCCCAGAGTATGGAGTTTTTTGTTTTATTTTTTGTTTTTTGGGTTTATAGGGTCACTTGCTACTTGATATGACAGGAATAAATTTCATCATCAGATTACTTTGAAAATACTATACACTAGTTCTGACTTTGGAGTAGGGGAATATTGTAAATTGGCACCATGCCTAGCTAGCACTGACCGAGATGAGCAAGGCCTGGTAGCACTTACCCTAGTCCAGCACTTGAGGGTCTCAGTGAGGCAGGAGGATTGCGTGAATTCTAGGCTAGCCTGGACTATGTCGTGAGTACCAGGCCATCTGGAGTATATAACAATATGCTGTGAGACAAACAAATCAAAAGCACTGGGATATCTTGCAGCTTAAAAAGTAATTGTTTGACCACAACTTGCTTGGCTGTGAACAATTTGGTTTACAAAATGCCCAATGAGCCAGTATATTATGGCACACACTCATTTTGGGAAACTTGATTGTCACCTTATTATGGAGATGAAAAAAATGGAAGTCTGTGACTCTACTGTCAGAATAACTTTGGAAATATAGTTGTACTGAGAATGGCTTGTATTAGTGTGTTATGCACTCTGCCACTTTGACACACATGACCTAATCTTCAAAATGACCCTGAGATAAATGTTATAATTATCTCATTTTACATACTGGGAAATTAGGGCTTAGGGGAGTGAATGGTGTCCCTGAAGTTACATAATTAGCATGTGGCTGTCCATTAATTAGGCAAGGCTTGTATGACGAGACCTCAGAGGGCAAGTCAGAGCCCTTTTATGTTTGTAGGTGTCCCCCTTCAGTACTGAGAATTCTATCTAGGGCTTCATGAAAAATGTTCTACCATTTGAGCTATATGCTTAACCTCCTAAATAATTAGCATTACAGACCTTTGCCACCAGGCCAGCCTTTTCTTTTCATTGTGTGTGTTTGTAGTAGAAGCAGTGTGGTCCCGGATTTTGGTCAGAGCAGAAATGTGTGAGTCCTGTTGTCATGGCCTGTTTTGACTTGGATGTGTTTTTTTCCCCAGAGGTTGGTGTGCAGGAAGCTTAATCCTTCAGTAAGGTGATGGTGAGAAATGGTGAGGCTTTTTAAGTGATGGGGCCTGGTAGAATTTGACTAGGCCAATAGGGAAATGTTTTACCAAGAAGGAATTAATGTTTTTATGAAGTGAGTTCTCATAAGAGTTGGTTTTTAGAAAGTGAGTCTGTGCTTTGGCCCGTTCTGCACATGGCTGTTCTCTGTTCCATTCTGCTATGTTGTGGTACAGGTAAGGGGACCTTCACCAGAGGCTAAACAGGTGGAAGAGCCAGATACTGGACTTTTAGCCTCTAAAACCATGAGCTAAATATAAATAATAAACTTCTTTGCTTTGTAAAGAATCCAGCCTCAGATATTTTGTTGTTGCAACAATGAAGTGAATGAATGAAACCCCTAAAAATTGTGTGTTTGAAATGTTCTAGGTAGAGTCTCTGCTTACAAGTGCCACTCCTAGAATGTTA